AGAACTCAAACAATGCTTTAAGATTCCTAGAACTGTCATGAACTGAAAAAAATGTTGAAATATACATTTATTAAGAAACCAGAGGCTTTCTTCTTGTTATAACAGGTATGGAATTGCCCAAGAAAGATGTTAAATTATTTTTGTACGCCACAACGGCCGCCCAAATATTACTTGCTAAAAATTGGAAAACACAAGAACTACCAACAGTGGAAGATTGGCAGATGAAGATGATGGACTTTTCGGAGCTAGCGGACCTGACTGGAAGAATCCGCGACCAGAAAGAAGAGGAGTTTTCAAGAGGACTGGAGGAAATTCAAGGACTATTTGAATAAATATTGCAATATAAAAAATTAGAAATTACTTGAAAGAAACAAATAGGCCTAGGATTAAACTAAGCTATAATTAAATAAATGGGATTTAGAATATTAAGAAAAGTGAACAAGATGGACTATACTTGGAAATTGTTTTAGTTTAATAATGATATTGGAAAGCTGTTACTTTCAACTACAAGGAAACTCAGAAGGGAGGAACTAGAGGAGGTCAACCAAGATGTTTAAAAGGTTGGATTTGTAAAGAATTAAGTTTGTTGTTATTGTTTATCTGTTTATTGTTCCCTTTTTCTTCTTTCATTCATTGATGTATTTTTCTTTTTTTTCTGTTTTTGTGTGTCATTCTGCTTTGTGGTTTTTGTTATAATTGTGGAAAATCTAATATATATATATTTTTAAAAAAGATTCCTAGAACTGTCGAGTCAGAAGGGATTCCTGAGGGTCATCTAGTCCAACCCCCGTTACTGCAGGGTCCCTTCCAACTCGACAATTCTAGGATTCTATTATTCTACTGGGAGATACTCTTGATGATTGAACCCGGCACCTTCTGCTGGGCAACCCAGTCAGATGGGTGGGGTACAAATAATAAAACTATTATTATTATTATTATTATTATTATTATTATTATTGCAAAGATGTGCTCAAAGACAGTCACAGCCCTTTTCCTGGTTCCACATTGCCATAATGTGGGGAGCTGGGTATAAATTAGAGCACAGGGCAGGTAAGCAAGAATGGAAGGGGGCTTTGATCTCCCCTGAAATCTCCACCCCCGCAAAAAAGTGCATTTTCTTGTGGCAGGGGATAATTATAGTCTTGGAAATGAGAGCCAGTATGGTGTAGTGGTTAGAGGGTCAGGTTAGAGGGATAGGGGTTCAAATCTGCAGTTGGCCACGAAGCCAGCTGGGCAGTTATCTCCCAGTGTGGCCTACCTCACAGGGTTGTTGGAGGATAAAATGGAGAGAAGGGTGCCATGAGCTCCTTGGAGGAATAATAATAATAATAATAATAATAATAATAATAATAATTTGTTATTTATACCCCACCCATCTGGCTGGGTTTCCCCAGCCACTCTGGGCGGCTTCCAATAAAATATTAAAATACAGTAGTCTGTCAAACATCAAAAGCTTCCCTAAACAGGGCTGCCTTCAGTCTGGTAGTTGGTTTTTTTCCTTTGACATCTGGTGGGAGGGCGTTCCACAGAGCGGGTGCCACCACCGAGAAGGCCCTCTGCCTGGTTCCCTGTAACTTGGCTTCTCGCAGTGAGGGAACTGCCAGAAGGCCCTCAGCGCTGGACCTCAGTGTCCAGGCAGAAAAATGGAGGTGGAGACGGTCCTTCAGGTATACCGAGCCGAGGCCGTTTAGGGCTTGAAAGGTCAGCACCAACACTTTGAATTGTGCTCGGAAATGTACTGGGAGCTAATGTAGGTCTTTCAAGACCGGTGTTATATGGTCTCGGCAGCCAGTCACCAGTCTAGCTGCCGCATTCTGGATTAGTTGTATTTTCCGGGTCACCTTCAAAGGTAGCCCCACGTAGAGCGCATTGCAGTAGTCCAAGTGGGAGATAACTAGAGCATGCACCACTCTGGCTAGGCAGTCCGCGGGCAGGTAAGGTCTCAGCCTGCGTACCAGGTGGAGCTGGTAGACAGGTGGGACATAAAGGTAAGGGCTTCCTGCCCATAGGATACTCCATGGCCAATGGCTATCAGAAAATGTGTTTCTTCCTACATGGGCTTGGCTCACAGTTCGTTTCATCTGCTGGCACCGGAGGGCGCTCTTGGGCAGAGAACAACCGGTGACATAGGCCCCAGCTACACGATACATTTAGAGTTGTATCATACCTCTTTAAACCGTCATGGCTCCCCCCAAAGAATTCTGGGAACTGTAGTCTGCGAAGGGCGCTGAGAGTTGTTTAGGAGACTCCCATTTCTCTCACAGAGCTACAGTCACAGAGTGGCTCAATGACCGATCCCTAATTCCCAGGGAACTCAGAATCGTCGCTCTTAAGGGCTTCATATTTCCACCTCAGTTTGTGATTGATTGATTGATTGATTGATTGATTTTTAATAAAAGCCCTCACAAAAATTCATTAGTATTTTTAGTGCAAATTTCTCCTAATATATATATTTTTTTGAAAGCAATTTTGCCTAAAATACTAATTTTTGCAGAAGATATTTTTTTGCTAACAGCGTGCTATATTTGTATATTTTTTACACTAATGCATGCATTTGTATGCACATATTACCTTAGTATGTTCATTTTTTATTTTATTTTATTTTATTTTATTAAAAAGCACATTTGTTACTTGGCTGGAGAACTGTGTTGCAAAATTCAGAGATGCCAGCCGTATTCACACGTTGTTTCCGAAAATGCCAATTAAGCAGGTTCATCTCTAAATGTGAAACGAATCAGATTTCTCCCCCGTCCCTAACGGCGAAGACCATTCATCCTGATTTCCTTCCAGATCTTGATCTTTCCATTAATCAGTCGTTCATCCCATTACTTTCAGAGTATATCCCCATTACTCTACTAACAATAACAACAATTCTAAAAATGTGGCTTTGTTGCGCTAGGGCAGCAGAGCGATTAAACCTACTTTAATCGAATAGCCCAAAATTTACAGTGTGCGCTTGAATACCTCCTGCAAAATGGTGACACTCTGGAGGCACCCTAAATCTGTATGACAAAACAACTTTAATCACCGTCGCTGAACTACAATTTCCAGACTTTCCAGAATAGTGAATCCACAATACCAGGGTGTTCTTGAGTGCATACCCCGAGTGGCGTTTTCTCCTTTGTGACAACTCACCTGTTTGGGAGGCTGCCTGACTGAATTTAGGGAGACCCGAGTTCAAATCTCACCTCAACTGTGATGCTCACTGAGTGACATTGGGGCTTGTTGCTCTCACACAACCGAAACGACTTCACTGTGAGAATAAAATAGTAGCACATGCCACTCCAATCTCTGAGTGCTTAGAGATTTCAGGAGTTCCATGTGCTTACCCAGGGCTCGGTTTCCTTGCAGGGATTGCGGCTTCTTTACGATACACAGTGGTACCTCGGGTTACAAAAACTTCGGGTTACAAACTCCGCTAACCTGGAAGTAGTACCTCAGGTTAAGAACTTTGCCCCAGGTGATGTATAGGTGGTATATTACCCCAGTGAAATTAGCTAAAATGTATAAAACAAGTAATAAATGTTGGAAATGTAAAGAAAAGGAAGGAACATTTATCACATGTGGTGGGAATGTAAGAAAGTGAAAAAACGTCTGGGAAATGATATATAATGAGATGAAAACGATGTTGAGATATACATTTATTAAGAAACCAGAAGCACTTTTACTTGGCATTGTAGGAGATGAGATTAATAGACAGGATTGTAAGTTGTTTCTATATGCAGTGACGGCAGCAAGAATATTATTGGCACAAAAATGGAAGCAAGAAGAATTACCGACGACAGAAGAGTGGTGGATGAAATTGATGGACTATGCAGAATTGGACAAATTAACTGGAAGGATTCGAAACCTGCGGGATCAGAGATTCTTAGAAGACTGGAGTAAATATACGAACTATTTGAAAAGTAATAGTAATGAACAGATTACGCTAGTAGGACTGCAAGAAGTTTTGTAAGGAGAATTACATGAAATAGTTCTAGAAAGACTATGAGAGAATTTTTAGTTGATGATAATTAAGAGTAATAGATATTTTAAGGAATACAGAATAAGTGATAAAAGATGGAAAATCATCAGAGGTGTTGGTGGTACCTCAGGTTAAGAACGGACCTCCAGAACGAATTAAGTTAGTAACTAGAGGTACCACTGTATGGTTTTATTTACACATGCATACAACCTGAACCTAGGGATGTGGGTGACGCTGTGGGTTAAACCACAGAGACTAGGACTTGCCGATCAGAAGGTCGGCGGTTCGAATCCCCATGATGGGGTGAGCTCCCATTGCTCGGTTCCTGCTCCTGCCAACCTAGCAGTTCAAAAGCACTTCCAAGTGCAAGTAGATAAATAGGTACCGCTCCGTCGGGAACGTAAACGGCATTTCCGTGTGCTGCTCTGGTTCGCCAGAAGAGGCTTAGACATGCTGGCCACATGACCCGGAAGCTGTACGCCGGCTCCCTTGGCCAATAAAGTGAGATGAGTGCCGCAACGCCAGAGTCGTCCGCGACTGGACCTAATGGTCAGGGGTCCCTTTACCTTTTTACAACCTGAGCATCAGAGGGAGGGGCTCATGGCATTAACACCCCCACAGATACAGGATCCCAGGAGCTGGAAGGGACTCGAGACACCATCCAGCCTGCCCCCCCCCAAAAAATCCCAGAACAATAGATTCGTCCCACAGACGTCCTGAAGATGAAAGGAAGGGGAGGGATGAGATCAACAAATTTGTATGTAAGCCAGTCACTGGTTGCACAAGCAACCCCCATCGTGAAAAGATGGCAGATAGATGCTCTCTGACTCTTGAGTGCTCACCATCAAGCATGGAAATCTCCGAGTATTTGCCTACACCGTCTTCCTTCGTACTGCAGCGCATGCAAATAGCTGCCCACATTCAAATCGCTGCCCGCTCTTGCAGAGTCCAGGGACAAGGCTGATAGCATAGAATAAAATTGCAGAGTCGGAATGGACCACGCGGGTCATCTGGTCCAACTGGTACAGGAATCTTTTGCCCAATGTGGGGTTCAAACTCACAACCCTGAGCTTAAGAGTCTCATGCTCTCCCAACCGAGCTATCACTCAAAGGCCGAGGCCTCACTCTGACCCCAGCGCAGCTAGGAAGAACATGAGGCCAGAATCAGCTAACCAGGTGGGATGTGGCCTGTAGCAGCAGGAGTCAGAAAGGATTCCTTGTGAGCAATTCTCATCTGCAGAGCAGAGCCTTGAGCTACGGTCAGCGGTGTGAAAATGGAGCATTGATGCATCGCTGTCACTTTGCAGGATTTCGAGCATCCCTGACAAATGGCCATCCATCCCCTCCTTTGAAACGTCCATGGTCAAGAGAACCGTAACTGATTAACAAAAGACAACTCTGAGGTTAAGTCTCTGCGCTGGAAGCTAAGCTGCTATGAAACGTGGTGCAGAAATGAGCCACCAGTTGCCGGGCAAAGTCTCTTACTGTCAGAAAGTTCTTCCTGTTGTTTAGTTAAAGGTAAAGGGACCCCTGACCATTAGGTCCAGTTGTGACCAACTCTGGGGTTGCGGCGCTCATCTCGCTTTACTGGCCGAGGGAGCCGGTGTGCAGCTTCCGGGTCATGTGGCCAGCATGACTAAGCCGCTTCTGGTGAACCAGAGCAGCGCACAGAAACACCGTTTACCTTCCCGCCGGAGCGGTACCTATTTATCTACTTGCACTTTGACGTGCTTTCGAACTGCTAGGTTGGCAGGAGCAGGGACCGAGCAACGGGAGCTCACCCCGTCGAGGGGATTTGAATCGCCGATCTTCTGATTGGCAAGTCCTGGGCTCTGTGGTTTAACCCATAGCGCCACCCGTGTCCCGTTGTTTAGTTAGAATCTCCTTTTTTGTAACTTGAAGACATTGGTTCGAGTCCTACCCTGCAGAGCAGGAGAAAACAAGCTTTCTCCATCTTTCCTGGGACAGCCTTTCAGATATTTGGCTCTCATATCTCCTCTCAGTCTCCTCTTTTCCAGGCTAAACATACCCATTTCCTTCAACCGTTCCTCAGCAGGCTTGGTTCCCAGACCCTCGATCATCTCGGTCACCCTCCTCTGCCCCTCTTCCAACTTGTCGATATCCTTCCTAAATCATGGTGCCCAGAAGTGGACACCGGACTCCAGGTGTGGTCTGAGCGTTTGGGAGGGGGAAGTGTGAGAAAGCCTTGATTTGAAGGAGAACACCATACAGACAATGGAGAATTAACAAAGGTACAGGAAGCTGTCCACATCAAAGGACAGAATGGATGGCCTCTGGGTTTCCCTTTCCTTTTTTTGTGGTCTTCTGGCTGCCCTTCCAGAAGGCTCAGTCTGTGCCTGGGCAGACATCTGCTGAGAATTCCTTTGAGGCACAGAATAGTCTGTCTCGTGGGGTGGGGGTGATCTGCCTATTGGGTGTCTTTGGTGACAATAAATCTACTGAAAACAGAAGCAGCAGGTAGAAGGCCTCCTCTCTCTTCTGATTCTTTCCCTTCCTTTTTGCTGCTTTGGAGAGAGAGAGAGAGACTCCAGAAGGGGGGGGAATCGGACAAGGTGCCTTTGGAGCTTGCCAGAGTTCAAAGCAAGGGAACTCTGAAATGCACCTATAAACAGACACAGCACGCCTGGGTCTCTGCCCAGCATCCGGCTCACATACAGAAAAGCTACACGACCCCCTCCCTGGAAACGGGGGGGGGGGGGCAATCCCACCGGATCTCCCCCCCCCCACTTCCCCTGCTTGGTTGTCTCTGCAGCTGCCCTCAAGCCCCCATTTCCAGCCCAGGTCCAAATGGGCAATTACCCTAATTAGATCCCAGGCAGGCAGCTGGGTGGCAAGACTCCAACACCCCTTGGGCATTTTCAGAAAGTCAGGCGTATGGCAGGAAGGAGAGCAATACGGGGGTCTGCAGGCTGCCATTGTGGTGGGGGGAGCGATGGGGGGAGAAAAAGATGTGTTTGTTTATTTCATTCGGTTTCTATGCCAGAGGAAAGGTTGGATGGTCTTTTGTGAGGGATGCTGTAGCCGTGATTCCAGAATCGCGGGGGTGGGGGGGGTTGAGCCAGATGACTTCTTCCAACTCTACAATTCTAAGATTAGGGCTGGGCGATATATAGCTATATCCAGTGCTTTTTTTTATTTGAAAATGTTTAGGGGCACTCTCATTTTCACTGAAGAAAACCACCATTTTATAGTTCAAATCTGGAAAAATAAATATAGTAAATGGACATCGGGGTAGCAACAGAACTGACAATTCACCGTGGTAGAGAAGAAACTATTTTTTATTTTTTTAAATTAGTTTCTTCTCCCGTTAGATTAACAAAATGTTTAGGAGTATGCGTACCCCTGTGTCTCTCCAGAAAAAAAGCACTGGGTGTATCATCCAAAACAGTTTTGAAGTTTCATCATTTTTGGCCTGGTAATATATCACGAATCATGATGTTTTTGTGTACGTGTGCTATACAAAAATCACAATGTGGGGGAAATGGCGAGGCCAGCCAATGCTTCTCTCGATTCCCACAGCCCCGTTAACTTTGCTGGCCCACTTCTCCCCGGCCTCATGCAAAGGGCAACGAATCACAAGAGCAGGCGCCAGCCCAAATCACAATGCAGGGAAAACTGTAAAGCCAGCCAATGCCTCTATATAGCTCCGTCCTTATTTCAGACATCGTGATATATCAGTATGATAATAATAATAATAATTTATTTATATCCCGCCCATCTGGCTGGGTTCCCCAGCCACTCTGGGCGGTTTCCAACAAAACGTTAAAATACAGTGGTCTGTTAAACATTAAAAGCTCCCCTAAACAGGGCTGCCTTCAGACGTCTTCTAAAAGTCTGGTAGTTGTTCTTCTCTTTGACATCTGGTGGGAGGGCGTTCCACAGGGCGGGTGCCACCACCGAGAAGGCCCTCTACCTGGTTCCCTGTAACTTGGCTTCTCGCAGTAAGGGAACTGCCAGGTGGCCCTTGGAGCTGGACCTCAGTGTCCAGGCTGGATGATGGGGGTGGAGACACTCCTTCAGGTCTACTGGACTGAGGCCGTTTAGGGCTTTAAAGGTCAGCACCAACACTTTGACTTGTGTTCGTAATCATACTGGGAGCCTATGTAGATCTTTCAAGACCGGTGTTATGTGGTCTCGGCAGCTGCTCCCAGTCACCAGTCTAGCTGCCGCATATATTGCGATGTTTATCACAATGTTGAAAAACAGATATTGCCGAGCCCTAGCTATGATTCTGTGATGTTCCCCAGAATGGAAGATGGCAGGATCCCCAAGGATGCAGGGAGCTGGCATCAGGTGCCAGGCCTGTTGGCCGACCAGCTCTGTGTTACAAAGATGTCTGCAAACACGTCATGAAGTCTGGCAACATCGACCCCACCATGCGGGAATCCTTTGCAGACCTCCGCAGTGCCCAGAGACAGTCAGGTCGTATATCCATGGAAGTGACCAGAGGAGGAATGACCACTGGGAGGAGCTCAGAGACAAGAAATGCCGTAGTGCGTCGGCAGCAGCACAACCGGACGCCTTCATCTGCCCCAGCTGCAACAAAACATGTCTCTCCTACATCGGTCTCTGCAGCCACAGCAAGTGCTGCAAGCTTCCAACAGTTTGACTTCACACTCCTCCGTTGTCTCCAGAGACAGACAGATGCCAACAAAAATGATATACTACAGTGGATCCTCTACTTACGGACGTAATCAGTTCCGGAGGTCCGTCCATAAGTCGATCTGGGTCACTGGTAGAAGTGCTGTTGTGCGCAGGTGCATTTGGTGGCAGTGCGCTTCTGTGCATGTGTAGACGGCGGAAGCCGCTTTTGAGCGTGCGCAAATCGCGGCAAACCCGGTATTTACTTCTGGGTTTGCTGAGGTTGCAACTTGGATCGGGCCCAAGTAGATGTGGTCGTAAGTAGAGGTTCTGCTGCACTTGACTGCAGAAAACCTCAAAGCAGTTGACAAAAAGAATAAAGCAGAGAGTTTATTAGCATTAAAAAATAAAAACTAGCAATAAACTAAAAACACACCAGCCTTTTAAACATCTGGGTAGGCTTTCCTAAACAAATGTGTTTTTCGCAGGCCCCAGGAAAGAGTCCAGCGCTTGGGGATGGGTGTCCCAAACTGCAGGTGCCTGAGCCACTGGGGAAATCGAAGGCCACCAAAACATGTTGAAATAAGGAGCGTTTGAGGAAGAAGTCAACTGTGTTGAAGAAAACCTGCGAGAGATGAGGGGAAGTATCCTGGAGCACATGAAACAGAGGAAAAAGCAGCAGAAAGAGGACGAGGCAGAGAGCGGGGAGTGCAATGGGATGGGATTGTGGGCATCGGCAGGGAGGTGGGCTCCGAAAGCAGGGGAACCCGATCTGACCCCGAAACCGAGATGTGCCAACCGTGCATTGCAGGGAAGCCAGTGGGGACATCGTGTGGTTTGTAGCCTCCAAACGCAGGAAAACACAACCTAGAAGGCAGCATTTGAGACGGCATGGATAAGCCCTGAGCCAGAAGGAGAGGGAGGGGCCCTGCTCTGTGCTTGTGCGTGTCCTCTAAGAGCCCTTGTCCAGATCAGCTGCGGAGGCCGGCTGCACGGTGTCAGCAGAAAATGCCTCCCCATCTCCTCCTCCTCCTCCTCCTCTCCTTCCCCGCCTCTTCTTCCTGGCTTCTCTTCAGCGATGAGGCCAGGACTGTGGTGCGTTGATGCCTGAGCAATTGGACAGGGGAAGGGGGGGGCAAGCCATAGCCAGTTCTGTAGCGGGAAGGATTGGGTGCTGAGCGGGCAGCTGAAAGAGGAGCTGTGGTGCAGGCAGGTCCCTTAGCATGACAGAATTGTAGAGTTGGAAGGGACCCCAAAGGTCATCCAGCCCAACCCCTTGCAATGCAGGAATCACAGCTACAGAGCCTCCAAGTGTCCCTATTTTCCAGGGACGTCCCTGATTTAGAGAAGCCGTCCTGGTTTCTGATTGGATCCTGGAATGTCTGGACCATAAAAAAGGCTGATCGCCGAAGAATTGACACTTTTGACTTATGGTGCTGGAGGAGACTCTTGAGAGCGCCTGTTCAAATTATTCTTGTTTAGACAAGTCTACCCAGATGTTTGCAGAGACAT